TTTGGTGATTTCAAATATCAACATTGGCTACCAGAAATCACTTACTAAGCAGTTAATAATAAAATAAGAACAAATAAAGAAATTACTAATGATAGCACAAATAAAAAATAACGATAGGCCTACAAATGAAATAAATTGCTTTTTAGTTTTTCTGGTAGGTCTAACACACAGTAGGGCTATTAAGACCTTTTTTTTTTTACCAATTATCCAAATAATGTTTAATCCTAGAAAGCTATTATTATCAGAGGACACGTGAGCATAACGTGAGCCGCGGCACCCCGGTTGGGAAACACTGCTTTAAGGCACTTGCAATAGAAGTAAACTGCACATTTTCAAGTTTGAGAGCACAAATGCGCAAAAATCTAAAATTTCTTAAAGAGCAGGTCGTATGGTTTTTTAAAATGTCCTAATATTGTGTTGGAGTCCCCTACAACAGGTTTAAATGCATCTAAGGTCAGAAAACGCACTAATTTTCCCAGAATATACATTTATACATAGTCATTCGTCAATGATTTCGAAGCGGTTCGTTCGATTCAGTTCTGAGCAAAATGTCTGTAAACCCCTCCCTTCCAGAAGCCTACTCTGCTCTGATTGGTCAGCTGGCCAAGCCTGATGTGATTGGCACAAAAAGGAGCGCTTGAGCAAGTTAGCGAGCGCTACCATCTGTGTTGCCAAGTCCACGGTTGTTTTTGATGTCACGGGTTGTAGCGACCCCAATAACGTCATATTTAGGCACTGGAATGCAAATTTACCAGGGGAACCCCAACTGAAAGCGTGTATTTTACACCACAGAACGTGATTTTTAAAGGGGGACCACCCTCGAAACACGATTGGGCTAGTTTTGAGTAGCAATTAGGCGGGTTTTGTTGTGACAACCTCGCAACCCTAGCATGCACCTTTACATAAAACAATAATATAGTGCTCCAATCAGTTCTTAAAATAATGACATAAAAACATTTTGTTGAACACTTATGCAAACGAATCGTGCCCACAGCTAAAGTTTAGCTGCTAAACTGTAAACACTTA